TAATCTATAGAGTTAAATCACCACATATATACTTAATTCTAAAAGTAACCTGTTGAACTGAGATGAATTCAGTGTTTTATATAATATGACTTTTCCAAAGTTGGCATTGAAGTTAAATTAAAATGAAATTTATCACTTGCAAATACTCATAGGTGCTGTGACATTTCAAAATTAATCATTTACACATAGTTTTTCAGATGCTATTATCCCAATTAACACCTAGAATAAACTTCTCTGAACGTGGAGACTTCATGGAATAATCCTTTGGCAAAGCCCCCAGATGAACCTATTTCATTATACAGTAATGCAGGGTTGTAATTATGTAATCACAATTAGCCCCCTATCTCTGTGGTTATTCAAGTGCCAAACTTATAGATTAGTCTTTGTATGATAATGTTATAAGGGCAATAACTTATAAGTCATGAGTTATACTTCTGTGTACATATTTTCCCAAAAGACTGTTCCCAAACTAGTCTTCTTTCTTGATGACAGAAAGTTGGAAAAGAATGGTTTGCTCCTTGGAGTAAGATGAACTACATATGAAAATATCTGCTTCAATAACTGTATGAGAACTGAGTGTCATTTTCATAGGTATTACTCATATGCAAATAGATGTTGATAAAATTCTAGAAGGTGGTTTGGTATTTAAAGAAGCTGGATATTCTCCCAGAAGGGATTTTGATTAAGTATTCACTTAAATTTCCTTTAAAAAGGAGTGCCAAGGAGAAATTCGGACAGTCTGCAGCAGAATCACCATACATTCAAAATTAGTCAAGTCTGAATAAATGAAGTTTTGATGTACTAGAAAAATTGCCAAATCTTATACTTTTGAATGATTGCATCTGTGATCATGTAACAGTAAATAGACCTGCCTTTGGCACCTTTTACTTGGCTTTATTATACTAAATACAACTTTCTATTTGCTTGTTTGTTGGTCGCTCCTCATAGGGACTTCATTCATTCAACAAATACTGGCTGCCCTACTGCATGCCAGGTGCTGTGGATACAGCACAGAACCAATCAAAGATATATATGTTTTCAGGAAGATTAGACTTTATTTAGTGTCGGAGACAGAGATAAGAACTAGACGAATAAGGAGAATATGTCATATGTTAGGATTTCTCTAAATATTCTCGTCTGCATCGCTGGCATCCAGAACAAGGCTTAGATATAGTAAGCACTCAGAACCTATTCACTGATGTGTTGATTTGCTTCTATGAACACTCCAAGGAACAGAAGCATAATCCTTGAATGTACCATTGCTTTTAATCATAAACAGCCACTGGAGTCCTGGCTCTGGCCAACAGGGCAGGGAATGATAGAATAAAACTTCCAGAATAGAACTTTAGGAAACACGGTTTCTGTTATCTATGAGTAAAGTATCCCGGCAGGTTCATTAATTTTGGCGACCTTACAGTTGATAAAATTGTTTTATGTGGCTTAAAGGAGTGTGGAGATTTTATTGTATTGCCTACTTATTTTGCTCTTTGCGACCCAACAATGAACATAGATTCTCCTTCCTATATACTTCATTCACCTCACTATTTCTCTCTTAGTGTTGAGTGCCTTGGAGGTATCAGGTGAATTAATTAGTTTTTCCACAGAATATTCAAATACTTGGTCCTGTTCACTTCTCCGTTAGAATTCTAGTCATTAACAAAGATGAGCAACTGTAATGTGCCAAGGTCCAAAGGAAGATAGTTTAGAAAACAATACATATTCCCTTAGTTCCATGTGTCAGGTAATTCGTAGAGACTCGATGAAAGGCTGCGTGTATAATGAGAATCTGAACATAGCTACCCGGAAGGCAAGTTCAGGTGGGCTTGTCGGAGGAAACTGCCTGCTCTCAACACTTGTGAAGTGACTGTCGCCAGAGTCCAGGGAAAATGACTTCAGACTGCTTTTGTGGGTCTGGCTTGCAGACATTCTCATTCTGACCCCAGCTCCTGTTGGTCTCCGGCTGGTCTTACTAAGGATTCAGTTTTCTAGGCAATTCTGTGGTCCCTTCAGTGCTGCCTCACTCACATGTACATAGATGTACATAAATAATCCACATTAGTCCGGATTCTTTAGTAAAATAGTATCTTTCCACAAATTTTTAGGGGAAAAACCATACGCACACAACAATGCATGATCTATCTAAAAAACTAGAGACAACTATTAGAGACAAACTAAAGGAGAAAATAGAAATCCTCTGTAGTTCTACTGCTTAGAATTAACCAATGAAAACATTGATATACACCGCAGGTCTTTTTTATGCACAAAATCACTTATTCTTTTTTTAATTTGGATCCCACAATCACAGTTTGCTAACTTGCTTTTCAAAAGTTAACACTGAATTACAGGCATTAGTGTTTGTATATTTTCACGTTATTATGTGAAAATATCATAATTTATCTTTTGTTGGATACTTAGGTAGTCCTGAATTATCAAAAATATACTATTATCAATAATATACTAATGATGTTTCTTTTACAGAAAAAGTCTCCACAGATCTTTATTGGTGGCTAAATGATTAGTGTTTTTTTCAAGCCAATCTATGGAGCAACCTGTTTTGAAGGCTGGGGTTGGGGGTTAAACGTGGGAGAGAGAGCGATTCTGAGTGCCTGGGTGCTGCCCTGGTGTTATGGAGAGAAGCCTGGGGCCTGGGCTCCCTCAGAAGAGAACTCAATGTCTTTTCACAGCTGGTGACCACACTACTGTTTGCAGGGGATAGAGCAGAATCAGAGAAGTGTGTGCCATGTAAATTGGGCATTTTTAATTTACACATCTCTAAAGCAGGGCCAGCTGCTCCATGCAATTATACTGAGCATGTTTATTCCCATCTATATAGAGCAGTGTCTTGGCTGGACTGTGAGATCTCCAGGAATACACCTAGTCATTAATAGGAAATGCATACATTTAATACCCATGAAGCAAGAGAAATATTCATCCTTGAACAGCAATACACATTTTAGCAAACAGATTATAAATTCCACAAGGCAGGCACAGTGTCTGCTTTGTTCACCATTATATTCTCAGTGCCTAGCACATTTGCTTGGCACACAGCAGATAACTGGCAAATATTTGGTGAGTAAAGAAAAATAAAGTGGAAATATCACAATGCAACTGCCAATCAGGTTTTGGCCCTGCTTTCCCATATAGGTGTATTTCCTCAAACCTGTATCTGACACAGGTACTATTGTGCAGGGACTGCTATTTTTATTTTTATATTATTTAGCTACAGTATATTTAAGGCTTCAGTCTGATACATTATTTCCCCAGGAAATGAACCCTGAGGGAAACATTTCCCAAGGGATTTGCATGAACTACAAGATCCTGTTCATTTTAAGTGTCAAGAGACCACCCTGGAAACCTTCACTAGTGGCTGCTGTTGTATTAAAACTTTTAGAAACATTTAAAGACACTAGACTCTTGTGATGGATGGTCAAGTGTTTCTCTGATGATCAGTTGTGCGTGTGTGTGATGATAACCTTGCTGAATAAAAAATAACCAAACACTTACTGAGTACATCCTAAATGCCAGCTTTTTACTGGGTTTTAGAAATAAAAAGAAAACCGAGAGAAGCTCATATACAGATAGATACACAGATAAATGCATAATTATTATGTAGTGTTGTAAGAGATGTAACTGGGTATGAGTAGGGTGCTGTGGGGACACAGAAGAGGGAACAACTGCTAATTCATCTCTGCGAAGGTGGGGAAGGTTTCATGGAGCCCGTATTTACATGGAGATTGAAGTATGGATAGGAGTTTGTCAGGCAGAGAAAGGGGTGATGGGAGTTCCAACCAAAGGGAGTTACAAAGCTCAGAGGGGAACGGTGCATCTGGGACAGGTGAGGTCTTCACAGCAGTTGGATCATAGGGTATTTGCTGGGAAGATGAGATTAGATTGGTAGATTTCACATGCATCAAGGAGGCAGCGGAGGAGTTTGTGGTTTGTTGTGTAGACAATGAAGGTTTTGATAAGGAACATTTATCTTTCAACCAACCATTGGTATCATCAAGGCATAGTAAGATATTTTTTGTGATAACGGTGTTGATTTTCCTTTTATTGGGTTTTAGGCTTTGTTACATCCTCTCTTAATCTTGGAATCCTAGTGGTGCAGTGGTCCAAGAGGCTTTGCTTAATTTTTCAGTTTTACCTTTTGTTCATTTATTTCGTATTTGCTTTTATATCTAAGAGGTTTTCAAAGCCCCATTATTTGTTCTGCAGCTGTTTGTTTGGAGGTCAAAGCTGGGTGCAGTGGTGTGCCTACTTCTAACATGTAGCTGAGGCCATTTATGGAATTGATTACACAAAATGATCTCTTCAAAATCATGGGTGGCCAGGAAATGGATACATGAAATCAAAATATACATTGCTATTGTTAAGTCACAATGACAATGTAGAGGGGAACTATTTCCTCAAAGCCCTTAGAAAATTCCATTGCATACTTTTTATAATGTTTTACCCAAGTTAAGGCTAGGGTGAAAGATGCAGGAAAGGGAATATGAAATTGAAGACATTGGTATCATTGTGGGTACCAAATAGAAAATTCTAAAAGTGACATTCCAGAACAATGTCACATACCATGTGCAAATTAATATCAGATGCTCTAAATTAATTTTAAAAAACTATTTGTTAGCTTATCTATAATTTATTTACTTACACATACTTAGTTTTTCATTGAAATATAAAAATGTGCATTGGCTTTGAATTTACTATTCCCACATGTATGAGAAAGTCAGTTACTGAGATCAGTGTTTGTTCTCCCTTGGGTCATTCTATTTGTGCAGTTTAATTAGCATAGAAGTTATCATTTTTGTAATTCTGATATTAATTCAAATTCAAAGGATTTAAGTGTTTGCATCAGTTTTCCTACTCCCCTTTATTTCTTTTTGTCAGTATTTTGCAAATTAGTTAAATTAAAAACCCATAGGACTGAAAAATGTTCTGTATCAACTGATTTCCCTGGTTTTTAAAATTTATTTTTATTTTTATTTTATTTTGTTTTCTAGGTGACAATGGCCAACATTGGAATAAATGGAAATAATTCCCTGGAAACTTGCGAAACAATACTTTTTGCTCTCCGAATGGCAACATGGAATCAAATCTTAGATCCTTGGGTATATATTCTTCTTCGGAAGGCTGTCCTTAAGAATCTCTACAAGCTTGCCAGACGCTGTTGTGGAGTACATGTCATCAGCTTACATATTTGGGAGCTTAGCTCCATTAAAAATTCCTTAAAGGTTGCTGCTATTTCGGAGTCGCCAGTTGCAGAGAAAACAAATCAGCAAGCACCTAGTTAAATAGGACAGTAAGTCAGTGTAGGGCTAGAACAAAATTAAGAAATGTTTGACAATATTTCAGTTAATTAGATACATACAGCCTAACTGGAAATTTCAGACCTCAGCATGTGGTTTGAGGGTACTTTGGTCAGATTCAGCATTTGAAATTTGTTAAATTAACAGTATAATTGTACGTTTTCACTTGCTCTTGTCAACTGGAGGTAGATGCAATGAAATAATGTCATGGGAGTCAAATTGAAAGCATTTTTGAGCTTATCTGTGTTATTTGTGCTTTGAGTAAATCTGTTGAGGCCAAATGTATTTACGTGGCCTATTTGCCAGAGAACATTTAATGGTGCCTGCACAGTGAAATGGCTATTTGGGGGTCACTGCTCTGTAGCTATTCCTTATAGACTAGGCTCAGTGAAATGGAGCCCCCTCATATTTTGATCTGGTCTGTTTTTACCCCTCATTATGTAGCCTCTGTCAATACATGAATGCACGGTCATGACATCTGTGATTCACTGTGACTTATAACAATCTCCACATATGCCAGGTCTGGCTGACAGGTTGCCTGATCTTGCAAGCCTGTTTAGCATGGACCCAGCTTACCTTATATGACAAATACGACCGCTTGCATTTATTATTATGAAGGTCAATTGTGTTTTGAGGATTTTTTTTTAAGTCATAGATTTGCAGTTTTCAAATAATTCCATTTTCTTCTGAGAATTTGAGTGCACTGATACATAATAAATAACTTTTAGAGAAACAAAGGCTCTATCTCAGCACTTATACAGGCAACTTGAGTTATAGCAGTTTCTAAGCAGCTCTACCATAGATAATGCAAACAGACCCTAAACCCTGTGGTAGGTGCAAAGAGCATTGACTAAAGGTGTTTTACCTTGAGCTGTCATTTGTGTCAGAGAACAAAAGAAACTGAATCAACATATAATATTCAAAGATTATCAGAAGCTAGTGTGTTTCTGTTTTACACGCATACATACACATATGCAAGCATATCAGAAAATTCCGTTGACAGTATGTTTGTTAAATCTATAAAACTGCATCTCCCAAAGCCTGTGCTACCTGAATCAAGGGAGGAAGATTGGTGATTAGCCAAGCATTTGGGGATCATTATAACAGGAAATCAAGGATTAATAATCTCTCCCCCAAATTTCTCAATAATAATTCAGACATTTTCTTTGTATAATTCAATCTAAAGAATTTTTAGTATTCATTCAAAATATCCTACGTCCATCACAGAATAGGGTAAATAGCTCTGCTTTATAATAGGGAAATGCATTTCTGTATGAGACTTTTTTGCTTTTATTAACTTGAATCCATTTAAAAATTAATCTGCCCTGTTAGATTGATTTCACATTCTCTAGGAAATGTGCAATTCAACTAGATTTAAATTATCATACTCATAAACTTCTGCTTTTGATTGGCAATTTACATTGGAAGTTGTTATTAACTTTTGTGAATTTTGGTAAATTCTTACAGTAAATTAAAAGAAATTAATCAAATAGCCTCATTGAAGATTTAAAAGCAATCTTTTTTTTTTCAGTGAGTTTAAAGAAGAGAAACACACACTGGCACATGATATTCTTAATTTAAGGCCAGTAAATGATTAATCACACAAGTTTAGGTTATTTTTTGTATATAGAGTACATAGTAGATGCTTGATAAATACTTGCCAGATTGAATTATAGGCAAGAGTTTCTTGCCACAAAATCGAATGGAATTGCAAAGTTTTTGTGGATTTTTAATTTAAACTGACATTTATATGTTACTGTGGTGTATATATATGTGTGTATGTATGTATATATGCATGTACGTGTGTGTATGTCTCCAATGTATATGCTTAAAATAAAAGTCATTGCAATTTATGATTGTGGTTACATTGCATAAATTTTCACATGTGTCTCAAGAGCACTTAAAGCTTAGAAAAACTTTCAGATGGTTCGTTTACTTTCAGAGGAGATATTTATTTTGTACAGCTGCTTAGTAGTGTTGGTGTCCTGTAAACTAAGGAACAAGGAACCAAATCTCTATACTCCCTCATCGTGGGGGATAGGATGCTGCAGTGAACATGCCCATGCATTTTGACTGGGGAGAGGCATGGAGAAGAAACTCATCCAAGAGCCCCAGGCCTATTCTCTTTGAGACTTCTAAATGAATGGCAGAATTCTTGCTCTATTGCCATGATGTCACCCTGGCCTTGAGGAGATCTTGTGGCATGACCATGTGTGAGAATGCGTGAGCATGCAAAGTTTTGGGGAGTGAGAGGAAAGGTACTCTGTGCATATCCTAGAAAGGTTATCTATATTATCTGTGCATAGGTTTGGGACAACCAAATTAGTCTTAAAATGATGTTAAACCAAAGAAGTAGTCAACAAAAATTGAAAAAAATTAGTACAAAAATATGTATTTGCATTGTTTTAGGCTTTTCTTCCAAGGAAAACAAAATTAAAGAAAGTGAACACAAAAATGTGCATATCTGACTTTAGAATTTTATTTCTGTTATTATGTGTGTTGCATGTAGTTTGGTAATTTACTGTATAATGAATAATAGAATGGAGCATCAACTTTCATATTAATGTTCAACATAGAAATATATTTGTTCAGATATCTGGAAATAAATAGTACAAATAGTTTCAATGAGTTTACCAATGTGACTGTGTTAAGTCCTATTGTAAAACTCATAATTAACCTTCAGAGTAATTGAATTTTCCTTCAAACTGGGTCAAGTAGTGTCCAAGGAACTTCACATACTATTTGAGCATGGAATTTCTGGGGAATTATATTATACTGGGCAAATGACTTAAAAATTTTCAGGCTTTTTCCAAGTATTAGTGAATTTTTAAAAAAAATGAGATAAAATACTGCACACATGGGTTTTTATCATTATGAATACAAAGACAGGTAATTTTGACTTGTAATTAATTAGTTGTGGGTACATCCAAAAACATCACACCTTTTACTAATGGGTTTAACTAGGTGATAGAAATATGCCGTTTTAAAGTTTTTTTCTAGAAAAGTTGCTTCTAATTATCTGTTTATCTAAAGTGGAAAATACCTAAAAGTTAATATAGGCACATATAGATGTATCTGTATCATGTGACAGATCATCTTGTTTATTCATTTTCATACTTAAAAAGAAAAACCTGCATTAGTTTTGTGCCTAATCTGAGTTTAGAACCCAGAAAAGAGCACTTTTAAATAGAGAGTGAAATATTTGTGAAAACTGTTGTAAGCTTCACCTGTATACCATCATAGTTACAAATTAACTGTTTAGGGTCAGAATATGAAGGTTGGGAATGCACATTTTATTACTTCTTCATCTAGGTGTCAAAGATTTTACCTCCTGGTAAATAAGGTTGGACTTCAACTTGTTACGCATTTTAATAGTTGATGAATGTGTTTTTCTTTGTTATGTCAATAAATGTATTTTGTGCTCTTCATAGTTGTTGGATTGTATAAGATATTCAGTGGTGATATGTATATTTTGTTGCTTGTGTTGGTATGCAACTCATGTAATTTTAGTGCTTTGACTGGCTTAAAATGTCAAACAAATGAATTTATAATAAACTTGGATTAATGTTTGTCAAGAGTGGTTATTTTTAGGTAGCTCGTATAAACTTGGAACTTTTGAATCTAAATTCCTATTTTTATCTGCTATTAGATGGGAAAAATATCAACTTGCTTTCCATGATTACCTTTTGCTATTCCTCCCCTGCCTACTCTTTTGTGACATCTGCTATCTTTCTTTAACCTGTGTCTTGCCTTACCTAGGCAGGTCATAATTCAGATAGGCATATGACCCATTTCCTAAACCTGGTGTCCTAGGTGTATCAGTCAGAACAGCCTAGATAAGTCTGCGATAACAAACAACCCCCAAATCTCAGTGCTGTAAGCTCCACAAAGGTTTGTACCTCACCTGTGTCTCCTGTCGACTCTGAAGGTGAACTCTGCTCTTTGTAATCACTCAGAGAACTCAGGTGACAAAGCAGCCACCATCATATGTTGCTGTTCCTGTGCTGGAGGGGAAAACACAGAGCATGGTGAATCATACACAGGCTCTCAGAGCTTTCACCTGGAGGGAATAAATAGTTGCTCGCACTTCTCCAGCTAACACCAACAATATGGCCCTACTAACTTCAAGGGGGGCAGGTGAGTGCAATGCTATGATACCCCAGGAGGGCAACTGAAAGTTGGTAAATAGCACTAATGATTTCCCCAGCAGGTAAACAAACCTTTTTCAATTCTTGCTTTCCTAATAGCACTTAAACAGGAACCATTTTTTTTTTTTTTTTTAGTTATTTATTTTTTTTATTTAGGAACGTGACATGAACACATTTAGGACTCATTCTTCATAATTACTATAGAAACATGCTCTTGTAATCTATAAAAGTAAGACAGAATGAATGCCACATTCACTGTTTATAATTAATAGAATTTTAGATGATTAAGAACACTATAGAATAAAAAGGGGGAATCTTGGTTCTTAAAATTTCAGGAGACTGAAGTATTTCTGTACAATGCTAAACAGCAGTATTGTCTGCAATAGTCGCTTTTCTAACAAATGTAAATGACTAAAATGAATTTTTTTGCCTTTTACTTTTAATTTCCTTATGATAGCTTATGTTTACCTTGATATACTCTATGTCAATGAATGACAGTTTGATAGCAAACTGTCAGAAAACCTGAAATAGTGTAATAGCACTGGAACAACATTAAACTGTACATTTCTTTTTCTCCAGACAGAATTGGCTCTTCATTTTGAGCCCACACATGACAGTACATGAAGTAAGTCAGAAACCTGACTAAAATTAAATCTTAGCAATCTTGAGATTTAAGTTCATTTATACTAATATTTTGTTTCTAAGCTTCTATAGGAAGTTATTGCACAGAATTTCTGTCAGAGCTGTCTTTCTGCCCTGTATAAATATCAACTGAAAACAATATGATATGTGATTATGAGAAAGTAGTTTGAAGGCTTTTATGCTATCAATCTCATATTTGATAAAATATATTTTCAGCTAACAATCTAGATAGTTTATGAAAGAATAGTGAAAATTTCATTTTATATTTATTTTACAGTAAAGTGGAGGCAGAATTATTGGAATCTAAAGGAACTATATGTTGATTTTAAATGCACTTAAAATTTTCACTTTAAAAAGGATATGAATTCAGTCTTAGAGTTTAATATTTAATTTTATTTGAATTAGTTTTAATATCTGATTTGTAAAATACTAAATTAACAATGTGCATTTTGGTGTACTAGTGCTAATTTCCCATGTTAAATGAAGCAATTCTACATACTAGTATATACTTATATAATTTTAGTTTTAAAGATTGAATTTGTACTAGACATAATGTTGTTTTGCAACTTTTTATTGTAGTCAATCCATGTCAGTATATAAGAATATTCTTTTTAACAGCTAGATAGTATTACCTAATATAAGTGTACCATAATTTAAATAACAATTTTCTTATTGATGTAGTCATTTTGTTTCCAGTTATTTTCCTCTTTCAAAGAATTCTGTTTCAATATGTATGTTCTTATATTTCTATCTTTGTGTTTTGTGGAATCACTAGATTAAGGCATGTTCATTTTCAATGCTGATATGTACTGCTGTTCAATGTGTACTCAGATTCTCTTCTATGAGAAAATGGCTGATTCCTGATATCACCTACTGTGTATTTTAGCAGTCTTTTTATTTTCACCAAGCTGATTGGCAAAAATAAATCATATTTAAACTACACTTTATATTATTTGTATTTCCCATTGCTAATGAAGTTGAGCATCTTTTCATACATTTGTTAGTCACTTGTACTTCTTCTATCTTATTTCTGACTTTTGTCTATTTTAATATGTTTATTTTTTTCTTACTGACTTGCAGGAGGACTGTGTATATTAAGGATATTAATTTTTTATATGTTACAAATATTTTTCTTCCAGACTGTCATTTTATTTTGTATAGAGGATGTCTTTCACCACATCAGAGTTTTATATTTTGCACAGACAGACTAATCTTTTATGGATTCCATGATTTGTTTCTTGTTTAGAAAGATTTTTCTCTCCTCAGATTATAAATACATCCCCCTTGTCATTTTCTACAATTAGAGGGTTTTTTTATTCTTAGATTTTCTAGTTTTCCTGGAATTTACTTCCTGTATATGAGGTCACTATTTAACTTTTTCTCTCCAAATTTATAGCCAATAGATACCCCTCCCCACCCCTCACCCAATATTTTTTTCATTACATTCTTGAAATCTTATCCTGGGTAGGTTTCCATTAGTCTTTTTGACATACTGAACTTAGCTTGCCTGGCCTCTATTGTTAACTCAGACTGAGAAATGCTAGACTAGGCCATCAAATAATAAAAATAATACTATACTTAATATTCAACAATGACACTAAAAGCAATCACCAGTTTTTCTAGCAAAGAACATAATTTTATGTGATGCCATTTTCCCTTTTTGTCAGATGTCTGCTGTGCCTAACAGTATAAAGTTTCCAGATGGTTAAGTGGGTTAATTAGAAGTTGTATTAGTTTGCTAGGACTGCTGTAACAAAGTACCACAGGCTGGATGGTTTAGAACAACGGAAATTTATTTCCTGACAAATCTGGAGGTTAGCAGTCTGAGGTCAAGGTGTGGGCAGGGTGATGTCCTCTGGGGCCTCTCTCCTTGTCTAGTAGATGTCTAGCCATCTTCTTCCTTTGTCTTTCTCTGGTCTTTCCTCTGTGTGTGTCTATTTTTCAATCTTATCTTCTCATCAGGACACCAGTCATACTGGATTAGGACCCACTCTAGTGACCTTACTAAATGATCTCTGTAAAGACCATACCACCAAAAACAGTCACGTTCTGAGGAACTGGGGGTTGGAACTTCAACATACGAATTATGGACAGACACAATTCAGTCTCTAACAAGAGTATATTAGTCAGTGATGTTGAGACAAAGCTACAGTAACTGGTCCATTTGGATTGAGCCTGTTAACTTGAGTTTATTGGCCCACCAGCTTATCCAGTTGCATGTTATAACACCTTATGATGTTGCATGCATGTTCTCAAACATTAGCATGCATCCCTTTTACATGGAGAATTTTCTAAATCAAATCGCTAGGCTCCACTCCAGTGACTGGTTCAGTTGGTATGGGGTGGGGCCAGAGAAGTTATATTTCTAACAAGATCCCAGGCAAAGCCAGTCTGAGGAACATGTTTTGAGACCCACTGGCCAAATCAACTAGGCTTACCAGCCATATGACATGGTATGAAACATACAAAGAACCATGACGTTTTTTGACAATGCAGAGTTGTACCACTATTTTTTAGTACTGGCAATTTTATTCCTTCCCTAATTCTTTTTTTAACCCCAACTCCAGATAAATTGGATCTGAAAAATGTAAAAGCTGCACATAAAGGGGCTAGAAGAACATGAGATGACACAGATTGACAATAAAATTTGTATACAAAAAAGCCAAAGCAGATGTAAGTGAACCATGGGTTAGCTGGTCTCAAATCTCTTGCTGGTTTCAAAAGGGTTTTTGTTATCATATAGACAGGAAAAATTCCCATATTAGTCTTTGGGAATATTGCTTACATTTTATTATTCTAACTAAAACTTTTTTTTTTTAAAGAAAAAGTTCAAGGCCATTTGGATTAATTTTACATTTTCTTCCTTACACTTACAATGTTTATCATCTTCTTTGATCCTTGTATTTTCCCCTATTGTTTGAGTCAAGTTGTTCTTAACATAATTTCCTACTCTAGTAAAATGAATCTTTCATCAGTTCTTGGCTTTTCAGGGAGATAATGGGTATTTATTTTCCAAATAAAATATAACACTAATCCTTTTCTTTTGGGAGAAGTAAATTAATTATAAGGGGATTTTATTCAAACAATTTAGAAAGATATACATTGTAACCAAAATGTCTGGGAAAAAAAATCTGTAATCGGGAAGTGGACAGGTGGAAGGGGGGAGGAGTGGAGGGGTATGTACTTACACGGTGGGTGTGGTGCGCACCACCTGGAGGCTGCACACGCTAGAAGCTCTGGCATAGCGGGGTGGGGTAGGGGGGCAGAGGCAATATATGCAACCCTAACAATATTTGTACCCCCATAATATGAAGTAATAAAAAAACAAGAAAAAAAAAACAATTTAGAATGACAGTTGAGAATAAATGGATCAAAACCAAATTGAAAAACCTGAATACAAAATCCCATTCTGAAAGCATTAAAAATACTGAGTCTTTTATACAAGTCCAAATAAATGGTATTTCCAAGGTAAGAGGAAAAAAAAAAAGAAGAAGAAGCAAAAGCTCAGGCTGTGCTTTTTCAAGGCATAGTTCTATCCAGAAAAGTTTCTCACTTTCCAAGGAAGAATATATTAGTATCATTGGTTACCATGAGATTTACAAAAGATATCAAATGTAAATATATAATAGATAAAATGTTTTAAGTAGTCACTTCTTTAAATGTGTCATTCTGAATCTCAGTGCCAAATATGCTAATTTATAAGACTTGAGTTATTAGAAGAGTTGAAAATGGCAATAGAAGACAGTGTTCTGAAGATTGTGACATTTGTCATGACTTTA